CAAAATGATAACAAGTGATTTCTCGACGAAATCAGTAGTTTATAAACGGGCGCAGAAAGGTTCAACCCAGCTTTATTTCTTATATAGATAGTATCAGTGTTGGGCTTTTAGTCACGCAATTCCTGTGTTCTTAACCCTTAGCTGATTTTGAAATATCGAAAGCAATTTTTCTCCCAATGTGGGTGAACAGTGGGTGAACAGGGAAATAAGCGGGTGGACAAATTACATCCTCTACGTTCATCTTTATCTTTGAAAATAATTGTTTTACTCAATTAGTGATTCAGCAACATTTCAAACTCAACATTAATATAACCGCTATATTTTACCAGAATTAGCTGATCGATTGGCACGATAAATGTCAAAAACAGACAGTTTCATTTGGAAAAAAAAACTATCCAAAATAAGCAAAACTTTATGAGTGTCAGTGAAGGAATACCATCAGCATTTTTCCTCTTTTAATTTCTCGATCCCATGGCCATGGGTGGTTTCAGCAGATCAAACCATTAGAAAAAGTAAAAAAAAAATAAAAATCACCTTGTGTCACTAAAATGCAAACGTGCCTCCTTAAATTACAGTAATATTGGCTCTATAGTCAGATTTATTAAAAATGAATCAAATTATAGTTCCAAAAAAAGAAAACTAGCAAAGAAACTTACGACGGAGGACCAAAAGCTGCACCGAAAATGTACACAACTGCATCGATCATGCATATATATTTTGTACTCACTCAGTGGCTCAATGGACCTCAAATTTCCACACGGTCTATTTTTAATTTTTTTTTATTATTATTTTATTATTTTTTGTTTTGCTTTCTTTTCAAACCACTGGTCGACCAGAAACGGAACTTAGTACAATCTAACGTTTTACTCCTGACATCCTTTCGTGTATTTGGCAAGTTTCTCCGCTTGTCTTTAATGTTTAAATATTAAAAGTACCGGTAATACCTCTTTTTGCATTTTATTTTCAGTACTTGGTCATGTGTTCTTATGTAGTTTAGTTTGCTAGTGTCTATTGTTTGAATATACATATCTATAGAAAGTTAGAACTGCAAGAAAACAAGCAAACAAGGTACACGTGTAATTATTGGGAATGAAGTGATTAAAAATTAATTCTTTTAGAGGCAGAATTAGTTCACTTCATTAAATTAACAGAAACAGAAGAGTCCTCGTGATGTTACTATACACCGCAGTCATGTCATCATCACAACAACCAATATGTTTGTAAAGCGCTAGAGATTAATTGTAAGGCATTACATTTCTCGGTTCATATCTGTTTGTTTTTTTTTTGTTGTTGTTGTTGTTTGTTTGTTTGTTTTCTTTTGTTTTTGTTTCGTTTTTGTTTTTGTTTTTGTTTTTGTTTTTTTTTTTCCGTTAAACAAGAACGTGTGTTACACGTGAGGCAAAGTTAGTCTGTAGTCTACATCATAGCTGTCATCTAAGGTTGTCACCAGTTCCGTTATTTTCCCCCTATTAGCCATTGTGCAATAACCTTAGGTCAACGTCCAATGCAACGCAATCGTTTTACCATATGGGAAATCATATGACAAAGCTCCCAGTGATTTCCACCATGCTCTCATGTGATTTCAGCGTGCTATACCCCTCCCAACTCCTTCAATCCACAGTTAGTAAAATACCATTGTTTTCTGACCCTGTCCCAGTTGTGAGCTAGTATTCAAGCCAGGCCGTTCTCCGCTTTCCCCTCCCTCCCTCCCTGTATTGGTAGCTTTGTCCTTTCCCATCTTTTTCCTCCATGTGGTTGTAATTACCTTTTGTGAGAGGGTGGCTTTCGCCTGCTGAACCTTCTCAGTTTATTCACTGCCACGTTCTATTTGTTATATTGTGTGTAAACCATAGCTGCTTAGTCAATAAAGGTTTTTTGATGGCAGGGAAGTGCAACCTAGGCTGCACTTTGCCCCACAGTAAGTGCTATGGCCACCCTTGGAAATAGGTCCGGATCTCTCCAGGATGGTGTCATCGTAACATCTGACCTATTGTCCTCCCAGAGGGGCACCCCTCCTCTGGTCCATCCTATGTTACCCCCAAGGAAATAGGTCTGGATCTCTCCAGCATGGTGCCATCGTACCATCTGAACTATTGTCCTCCCAGAGAGGCACCCCTCTTCTGGTCCCTTTAGTAACATAGGATCCCATAGAGACGCCGCTACTCTAGGGGAGATAGGCTCTGTCTTCCCTGCCACCCATGTTTTGCCACCATAATCAGTGTTTTGTTTCTGTTTCCTGCATCTACCCAGCAAAAGGGGAGGGGGGCTTGCAGTGTTGTTACCGATATAAATATCCTCGCTGGTACTGTTCGTTCTGCCCCTTAGTCCATGGGCCAGGACCCTGGAAAGAGCCATTTGGTACCAAAACGAGGGACAAATTCTAACACTTATTTTTAACAACATTGATTCCTTTAGGTTATTTTGGTGTATGATAACCATGCCAAATGAGTAGCTTTACTAGGATTATCACGTGATTAAATGACGTCACTCGGTCTGGCTAAATAAGCAGAATTGGTAAAAAGATGCCTAATAACAGTTAAATGCAAACCTGAAAATGTTACATACATTGATTTTTGGTTATTGCAAACGTCAAAAGCACTTTTCACACCTAATTCCAATAACTTTTATATGACTTATAGGTATTATCTCTGAATGGTTTCCATGGCAACACTTATCAAATTATAAATATGAACAATAAGACGAAAAATGTGAAAAAAAAGAAAGTGCTCGTGTAAATTGCATTGGTGACTTTCGAACGCTCGTTCTAAACTACATTGACTCCTCTTGCTTAGTTTGGTATATGATAACCATGTCAAATGAGTAGTTATACCAGGCTTATCACGTGATCAATTGCAAATGACTCGGTTGGGCTGAACACATAGAACTGGTACAAATGTGATTACTACGGTCAAATACAAGCAAATGCAAATGTAATCATGTTACATACACTGGTTTTTAGTTATTGAATATCTCAAACGTTTTCAGAGCTTATGTCAACAACTTATTTTTAACTTAAAAAAAAAGTTCTTGGATGGTTTTCATGGCTAAACTTGCCAAATGTTAAATATGAATAATTGTTCAGGATATAAGAAACTGCTTGTACATGTATTACATTGATAATTAAAGTTAGATTTCTTCGTCTTCTTCGCTGTCATCTGAGACAAACTCCTCACATCTGTTGTCACAGTCTAATAGCTTGCACACATCCGTGCACTTTAAACCATTTGCCAGGCAACTGCAGGTAGGAAGTTGACCTGACCTTGTACACGAGCAAGACAGTAGTTCTAGCACGGCTGTAGGGTTTTTCGAAGGGGCTGGGTCACCGCTCATCCAGTCAATGGCAAAGTTATCACCGTCTTCGCGCCAGCCAAAACCAATGGGGGTCGTGTCCCTTGGCAGCTTTGCCGACTTCGCTTCCAAATGGCTGCTTGGAAGTTTGCGCGAGCCGCATGCTTGAACAAGCAGTCAACACAAGGTGGTAATTGGGTGGAGTCGATTTCACCCTTCTTGGCGCAGAACAACCTGTACCTCAGCTCATTAATGTTATCAGTTCCCGGTTGAGAGCAGTAGAGCTTACATGTAAACTCTTGAAGGCTCTGAAAAAGCATATCTGATAGAACCCATTCCATCCCCAGCTACTTAAACATTTCTTGGTAAGATGTCTATTGCTTAATAAGTCGTAGCGCTGTTATCTTTTCCCTTCCAGCGAAGGCACTCACTGTGTCACAACCAGTGAAAGCATGCATACTAATTAGGCATTTGAAAAGTTCCTCTCCTACGGCTGCCACCACACTGGAGATACTGACATATCTAGTTCTTGTCTGCGCTCCACACTTGACATACATAGATGCCGAATAAAGTGATTAAACGCTAGGCAAAGCAAGAATACGTCTGTATCTTCTGATGCCACAACCACCGCCTTGGTGCCCGATTTAGCTGCATGAGCTGCATGTAGAATAAGCGAGGTATCTGCTTCTTCCTGTGTGGAGTTGAGCTCTTCAACTCTATTGGCAGCTTGTGAGGTAATCTCATAACAGTCACTCTCGCACGAAAAGTGACCTTGCCTGTCAACTTTGTTCTGTATTGATCCCGTCTCCACCCCTTTACCACAAACTCTGTGAAGGCCTTTTTATTCTTTGGATTCAAAAGGAACTTTCTTCACTGCTACACCTTGTGTTCGGATTCTTCTGCATGTAGTCGCACTAAGACCCTTAAGAGGTTTTTTCTTCGTGCGTTTTCAAGAGCTTTTTGGCGGGTAACTTCTACAAATCTTCCAGAACGAGGACCGAAACCATCTTCTGCATTGTAAATGGGAAGATTTTCTGCAGCCAGTGCCTCGACACTCCTCTTTTTGGTCTGAACTATCTGCGTTGAGTTGTGTTCCGAAATGCCTCGCGTGCACCGCTATTCCATTTACTCTATGCGATGTTCCTTCGCCCGATAACGTCTCTTCTAGACGGTCAATGTTATCCCATGCCAAAGTAGAGCCAACATGAGGCTGGATGTTATCTGGCAATGGGATTTCACTTGTTGATGTCATTTTCTTAAGGCACAGTGCAGTGTTGATTTCTTCGAGCTGGGAATAGGCGATTCAGTGGCCGCAACGATTAGGCATTTGGATGAGTTCAACGTTATCTGTCAGGGTCTTCACAGCATAGGGAAGAGGGATCTGTTTGGATGGCTTAATCTTTCCTCTCGGCTCACTCCAAACATCAGATCTTGGGCGAAGGATTTCATCGACCTCTGCACTTTTGGATGACGGTTTTTATCTGGCCACTCTTTTTTTCCGGTCTCATTCGTTTGCAAGAACGGACCCTGCTCTTTGGGAACATTCATTGCGCTCTTAGCGAGATCTGAAGGGCGGGAGACTATGACATCTCATTTTCTGTTCTTTGAATAACTTCGCGAATGTCAATAGCAGTCCGGTGTATATTTGAGCTCCGAGAAGACTGACTTGCATTGTCCTGTTTTTCCAGGAGGAGGGTTGTTATGTATTTAGGCACATGAAGTGTGTCAAATTGGCGGGAACTATGAAGACACTGGTGGTTTCTAACAAATTTTCAAAGAGGAGGACATCGCCAAATTCTACCTGGAGATTC